CCAAAAAAAAAAAAAAAATTAAAAAGAAAATAAGTGTGATACAAATCAAAGAAAACTAACAAACACTACCAATGCCTATTTTGATATAATAAAAGGGTTTTTACTGTAATATAGCTGTTCTCAAAGTTTGGCCAAAACCAGCAGTGCTAGTTCAATTTGGGCATCTGCTAGAATCAAACATTACTTTACAGAATCAGACAGGTCTAGCAGTCTGCATATTTCAAGTTCCTGAGTAACACTCAAAATTTGAGTGCCATTTCCTAATATAATTTGTAGTTCTGCACCTAGAATTCTAGAAAAAACTCATTAGAGAATAACTATATTATTCAAACTCTCACAGAGAGAACGAGATTCTCCACCAGGCTTCCAGGCTGGTTAAGACATGTTCTAGTGGTATAGGCAACCTGCAACAGAAACACTCAGAAACAGAACCTGTGAGGGCTTTCTCCAGCCTCATATTCTATAACAAGAAAAAGAGATTCAAGAAAAGAAAAACACAGATGTGGATTTTGGAACAACATGAACTAACAACACTGTTTTTCAAAATACTGGGTCCACTGGTAAAAGTAAAGCCCAAAGTGACAAAAGAAAAAAATTTGGAGATCATATACAATTGCCTACAGTAACGCAAATATCAAAGAATATAGTACCTCCCTACCACTAATGTTCACAGGATTCCTGTGAAGATGCAGACTTACTGAAGTCTGGAGTAGGACCAAATACTGCACTTCTGATAAGCTCCCAGACAATGCCCTGACACTGGCTGGTCCATGGGCCATACTCAGAGACCTGTGTGTGCAGAACTGATAGTTCAGATCTTTTTATTTGTAGTATAAATAAGAAACTTCTGATTTACATATAACAAACACTCATTTGGCAAACACACTTCAGTAAGAAGAATTTCTCTAATAATTTGGATCATAACAGAATTTGTCATTAAGGCAGTTTAAGTACGTAAAACTTCAGGAGACTCATGAAGAAAAAGGATGTTCTAAACACACACACACACACACACACATCTCTGCTCAGGACTATCTTAATTATGAAAAGCAAACAAGATAGAAAGCTACTAGGAAGTGTTTTCTGCTCTAATAACTACACAATAGTTTACTTCCTAAATGTAGGCAAGTGCTGGTGGCAAAAATCCAACAAGGTTTATCCAGAAGTCTTCACCCACTGGTGACAGGAGAAGTAAGAAAACATAACTGATGCAAGCCTGTAATTACCAGTCTAACCAATCTGACTCCACCAAGATTGGCTGTGAAAAAATAGAAGCCCACTAAACCATAACAGAATATAGGCTGGACCAAGCAGGTCAGAATCACAAAGGAGCAGCATAGAAGTATGTGTTTTTAAAGCCTCCCTGGGGATTTTGAAGCGCAATAGAATTACATACTTGCCAGGCAACTATATAGGGTTATCCCTACAATCTTAAGTGTAGACACAGGGAAAAAACTATAGACTGTAGGACATTCCATAAGACAACTGGCCTTGGGCCAGCCAGACAGCTCAGCAGACTAAAGCACCTGCTTATCAGGCAGATGCAGGGACTGAGGTTCCCCAGGGCACGCTGAGATGGTGACTGAGACTGAGCATGGTGGCACAAGCCTGTAATCCCAGCCCTTGGAAGGCTGAAAACAGGAGAATCACTATGAGTCTGATCTGGGTAGTGAGACCCTATAGACCCTGTACTACATACATTTTTAAAAGAAGACAACTGGCCTAGACTTTTAAAACATATCAATGTCATAAAGAACAAAAGACCAAATAAAGAAAAGATAAGACCCAACAAACCCAGGGAACTCTTTAAGATTAAAGGAGACTAAAGAGATACAATTAATTGCATTGTGTATTCAAGAGCAAAACAAACATAAAAAAGCACTGCAAAAGGTCACTACAGGGAATGAAACATGTGAAGGATTATGCATATTAAAAGTACTGAATCAAGGTTAAATTTCTGAATTAAACTCATAGTATTACGGAGAAAGTTGCTGTACACTGAAGACATCTACTGAATATTTTGGGCTTATTGCAATGCAGCTGTGTCCTTTCCATGGTGCAGAAAAGCATGTGGGTACATATGCTGTGTATACAAACGCAAAAACATTAAATGTAGTATATATACACATGGATGAAAGACGAAGTAAACACTGCATGCCAACAACTGGTAAATCTAGGTTAAAGATATCTAGGGAGGTCTTTGTGAGTCTTGCAACTATTTCTATATGAGAACCTTTGAAACTAAAGAACTAAAGACTCGGAGTAGTGATGTACTCCTATAATCTAGCACTCAGGAGGCTGACGTAGAAGGATAGCCTGAGTTAAAGGCCAGCCTGGTCTACATGGCAGGATCCTGTTCCAAGAAGAAAAACCCCAGACAACAGTAAATCAATGTCTCACAATACTCACTTCATTATTCTTTTTTTTGGCAGAACCAGGGATTGAACTCAAGCCCCCTTGCACTTGCCTGGCAAGTGCTTATTCCACTAAGCCATCTCCCCGGCCCCCCACTTCATTATTCTTTACTGAAAAGTTTCCAAAAGGATGCCTGAGACAAGTGTTTTAACAATCGGTTTATTCTTAAAGACCAGAAAATTACAATTAGCTTGTTTCTTAAATGCTGTTTGTTCTCTAAAACGCACTCAGAACTACTTCAGATTTACTTAGAAATAAATGTCAACTTTCATACAAATGAGAAATATATGTGAATTTTTATATGAATATTAGTATATAAAAACTATACCTCAGGGACCAGGGAGATGGCTCAGTGGCAAAACTATACCTCAAACCAGTTTTTCTTTGTACAACTTCTATGCAAACCTTACATGGAAAAATAAAGATGTGAGGTAAAGACAATATTTATGTAAAAGTTTAATATTTAGGAAAACAAATTCAACATAAACTCTATACCTGTGTCTGTCTTCAAAAAACTGGTACTCAATTCTTGCATCTCCTTTGGGTTGAGCAGACAAGAGAGCATCTACCTTCATTACCAAGTCACTGGCCCTGAAAGATGGGGTTACAAAATTGCTGGATCTCTTTAACTGAAGGTTTTTCAATTACTGCCAAATGTATCAACCGAATACTGAATAACACAAGATGGCTTAAAGAAGACATAAAGTCTATGCCAACAGGCATGAGAAGAAGTACTGATTTTGAAAGTATTTACTTGTACAATCTTAGGAACATTATTCATTTCCACATGAGCAGTGCACATACTATCTACATGTCAGGACTTTGTAAATACTATCCTGGCTTAATGTATCAGGCACTCAGACCAGCAATGGATCCAGAGCAGGAGGCCAGTATTATTCACACTCATTTAAATAATATTACTATTTTCATTATTATTAAGAGTAATAATTCACTGGAAATCCACTGAAAAAATAGAAAGGAAAAACTGCTCTTCCTGTGAGCGGCCTTAGGTGACCTGTGAAAATGGTTCGCTACTCTCTCGACCCAGAAAACCCCACAAAATCATGCAAATCATGAGGCTCAAATCTTCACGTTCACTTTAAGAACATGCGTGAAACTGTCCAGACCATCAAGGGTATGCATATCCGGAAGACCACCAAGTATCTCAAGGATGTCACATTAAAGAAGCAATGTGTACCATTCTGGCGTTACAATGGTGGCGTTGATAGGTGTGCCCAGTGGGGCTGGACACAGGGTCCGTGGCCCAAAAAGAGTGCGGAATTTTTGCTGCACATGCTTAAAAATGCAGAGAGTAACGCTGAACTTAAAGGTTTAGATGTAGATTATCTGGTTATTGAACATATCCACGTGAACAAAGCACCCAAGATGTGCCGCTGTACTTACAGAGCTCATGGCCGGATTAACCCATGCATGAGCTCCCCCTGCCATATTGAGATGATCCTTACTGAAAAGGAACAAATTGTTCCCAAACCAGAGGAGGAAGTTGCATAGAAGAAAAATACATCCCAGAAGAAACTGAAGAAGCAAAAATTTATGGCACAGGAATAAATTAAGCATAAAATAAATGCAAATAAAATTTGCATAATGCAAATAAAAAGAAAGGAAAAACTGACATTACATATAATTATCAAGATGAGAGTTATGATATTATAGTTCATAATTTCATATTTTTAATTCTATATGTAAATAAAGGCATATGCTACTTGGTAAGCTGCTTTTTATTCAAAATTATAAAAATGATGGTTAATAAATATATCACTAATTTAGTGGCCACAAATACATTCATGACTACATCACAGTATATTAAACCAACGAGCTACTGAATTCCAACCTCTATGTTACAATCAGCAATACAGTAAATAAGTTAGAAAAGCATCTGTTTCCCCCATCCCTTCTAAAATTCATTTTTAACAAAGGAAGATCTTGAACTAAATCATGAACTTGGAAAAAAAAAATGCTCTTATTTGTTGAAGACAAGAGCCATTCTAGCTATACTTCAACAACAATCAAGCATATACACTGTTTCTTTGAACCAAAATACTGTACCAAATGCCCTTCTGACTTAACCTCAACACTAATCATGATTACAGTAATGCTCATTCATCAGGTGCTGATTATGGCACATTAACATGGTCAAAAAACACGTCAAGGCCACCTGGTTATATGGACAGGGGCCAGCAGGCCACAAGCAACTTCCCAGAAGCTTTATGGAGCACAGTGTCAGGAGCACACAGCTAATCTCTGGAAAGCAGGGACAGCCGTGTCCCCGTGGAAGGCTGAGGCAAGAATGAAGCTGTGTCTGTAAGAGGACAGCCACTCCAAGGTGGAACGGCTCCAGCATTACCGAAAACCCTGGACAGGCAAGAAATTTCGTGAACCCCAGGGCTTCTGTATCAGTCGGCTGGCAGCAGCCCATGACCAGGGATAGCCAACGCACTGTCACCAGCGGAGTATGCTGCACTGGGAACTGAAGGAAAATAACCATGTAACTTGCCTTTCTTCTCCCAGACAAAATAAAACTGAAAAATAACCAAACAGATAATGAGAGAGTTTCTTTTTACATAAATATTCCAGGTAAAGGGTAACTAGACCTCTACGTTCACAGAAATTTTCCAAAATCAAAAGCTAAAACAAAAACTTGAGACAATTCTTTTAAATAACAGCCTAGAAAAAACATCTCTTTAAAAAAAAATTTTTGAACCCTATTTATAAAGCAAGAAATAAATTTCTTAGACAAGGTAGTTATGTAACATGATCAAGAGGAAACTCTAAATAATTAAACCTCTATGGCATTCATTTCTTCTATAGCAAAACTTACACATCTTCTTCTACCCGAAGCTGTTGAATATGAGATTTTATTTTCTGTCCAGAAGTTTTCAAGATAATATTTTCCAGGAGGTGGAAATCATCTTGATTAAAAAGTTCACTATCCTCCAGTGGCCCAATGATCTGTATGAAGAAGAACAGGTGGTCAGAGCTGGAAATCTGTCCACCAGCAGCAGCTGTAAGGGTTCTCTGCTGGCCTCAGGCTACCTTATATACCTAAGCACTGGAAAAACGGGTGAAAGATACACATCTAAATAAAATTAATGGACGAAGAGAAAGTAAAGCCTCAACCAACTCACAGTTATGTTTATTTAGAATTTCTCAGGTACACAGTAGAGACTAGACTTATTGCACATTATTTTCATAGTACGTAAACTCTGAAATAAAAATGGATTTTATTAACTCTTCCTGAGTATCAACAACAAAGCCCACTTTACATGTCAAAGGCTATGACGTGTTCTGAGAGCCACACAAATAAACAGCAAGGGAGGCTTACGTCAGAAAGCACACTGCCTGGGTTCTAACGGGCAGAAATAGCACTGCACTTCAGAAGCCCTAATCGCCTCTGAAAAGAGGGTGGCTCTGCTGCAGAGTTTACTAGCTTCATCGGAGCACGCTGCAGAGCCTGTTCGTGGACCTAACCTGAGCCAAGCTGTGTCAGTGTGACAAGTCCTCACCCTTCCGTTGCTGATCACCGCCCTCTGTCCCTTCTTCAACTTCAGGACATCCCTGCAGTACACGGCATGAGACAAAATGAAATCCATTTGGGAAGACTCAAACACCTCTTTAAAAAGACTGAAATCCATGCCCTGGGAAAGTAATCATTTTTAAGGAAAAATCACTGTTATTAAGCAAACCATATAGAAGCTCATAATAAATAAATTAGAAAATACTCTTTCATGAAAAGTAAATACATTCCCAACTAACATCACATTTCAATTCTTCCTCCCACTGCCCCTACTTCAATGATTGTTTATGTCCTTTCCTATTTTCAAGAGATTTGTTCCACTGGTTTCTTTCTTTGTTTTATACTTTTCAAATCTTGATGACTTCAAGTGACAGCCATTTTTCTCTAACTGAAACTTTAGGTAACTCATGATTTTATGAAAAAAAATTAAAATCATAAACATTTTTTTAAATGAGCATATCAAGCCAGGTGTGGTAACACACTCTTGTAATCCCAGTACTCAAGAGCGGAGGCAGGAGGCTTGCTGTGACTTCAGCGCCAGACTGGGTTACATAGTGAGTTCATGGCCAGTCAGAGCTACACAGCAAGACTCTGTCTCCAAAAAAAATAAAGAAAGAAAAAAGCTTCTATTAGAAACACATCAGCCAGCTAGATAGCACGCTGAGACGGTGACTGAGACTGGGCATGGTGGCACAAGCCTATAAACCCAGTACTTGGGCGGCTGAAAACAGGAGGATCACTATGAGTCCTATCTGTGTAGTGAGACCCTGCAGACCCTGTCCTAAATACTTAAAAGAAAAACTAACAAATATTAGAAACACATTAAGAACATACAAGCCTCTAACTCAAAAGTGAGCAAAATTGCAGTTTTTTACTCTACAAATAAATATTATCTATGTTTTACTTATTTATTTTGCATACAGGGCTTCCTGAATGCAAAGCAAATGATCTGTCACTGAGCTGTATTCCTATCCCTCACCTGTCTTTTAAAAACTGTATAAAACAAGGAGCTCACATGCAAAGTATGTACCACTGATCCCACCACCGAGCCTACTTCTCCGCTCATTTTTGAGCCAAGAATCAATTACTATCAAAATTCTTAAAACATTAAGAACAACATGTAAAATAACAAGATTCATGGAAATTTTTTTAAAAATAGTGAAAAAACAAAAATAATTGGTGCTTTAAAAACTTACAAAATAAATGGCACTGTATTTAAAATATGAACTTGTACCATGCATATCTTGAAACCTGGGCAAGCTTAAAAATAAAAAGAAATATGATACAGTTACTTCTTGGAAAGTCTTCCAAGTTAAAACCCTGGGCCAGAGAGACAGTTCAGTGGAATAAGTGCTTGCCTGGCAAGTGCAAGGTCATGAGTTTAATCCCTGATGGTGGGGGGGGAGGGGGGGACAGCAAAAGATCCCTGAGGTACAGTACTACATAATTCCTGATGAAGAACCCTGAAATGGACACATCAGCTGGACACGTCACAGCGGGAGTAGCCTCAGGACACCGCAGAGTCTTACCCCTACAGAGAACTCGCTGATGTCCGCCCCCGCCGCCAGCGCCTCTGAAGTGTCTTCTTTGACCATCTTGGTGATGAAGTTCTTGGCAGAGTTGGAGGTCTGCGTCTGGAGAGCTGCCCAGATCGCTCTGGAGATCTGAGTGTGCTCATAACTTATTTCTTTACTGGGGTTATTGATCATGCTGATCCTCACATTGTTACTGGATTTCTATTTATAAACAGGAGGGACATGAGTTACATAGTAGATATCTCGAATTTAGAAGGCAGCACTGACATCAGTCATGTTTCCTAAGTAGCAAATGATCTCCCTCTGCAAAGTGTTTAGTAGTTCTTTGTGTCCAGAAGGAAATTCAGAAGCTACAATCAGGCATTCAAAGCTCTGCATGACCTGACTCCAGACTTCCTTTCCAGCACCATCTTACGAGCTGTCAGACCTCTGAAGACACAATGTCCATCAGAGCATGAAATACTCAAGAAGACAAATGGAGCCTCAAACAAGAACAGAGAAGTAAGTGTAGGCACTCACTTGATGTTTAATAGCATCATACAATAACTGTCGTCCAGAAGTGCTATCAAAATCTCCAACAATCCAAAAGGTTACTGGCCTAATGAAAGAATCATCTACGGGAAAATAAAAGCAAATTTAACTGGAGAAAAAAGAAACATCGTCTGTTTTAATATTGCTATTAAACTACATAATTTCTAAAAACCATGCAAAAAAAAAAAAAAAAGAAAGAAATCACTAATTTAAAAAAAAAAAGCACAAGCAGCAAAACTTTAGCAAAATTAAAATGGGGTAGCCTTCAGAGTGGCTGACTTAGGAACATGCACTGATTAATTCTCTTGTGGCCTGGGGATCTGTTAGCGTGTGAAATGAAACATGTGGATAACACAGCATAGTCTCATCATATTTTTCTTTAGAAACATTTACAAAAAATTTATTTGCACGGATAGAGCCTATGGTTACCCACAAGTTCCAGAAATATCACAATAATGCATCAATAATTCTGAATAACAATGGCTCCTGAAAGCAGAGAATAGAACACTGTGAAGTTCTGAGTTACCATAGATTTCCTTGGAGGACATTCCTGGACAAGGTAAAGGGAAAAGAGCAGAAGAAAAGAAAACGTCACTTTGTAGCTAATACCTTGCTGTGCTGTAAGAATCCAAAGATTAAATGACTACTGCGCACTGTGTGGCTTCCTGCCCTGCTGCTGCAATAGCACTGCTCCAGGGCCTTCCACAAACAATTCTTCGTGGAAGCCACAGAGTCATGACCTGTATTTATATATGCGAGGAAATCAGGAATCCCTCCAGGTAAAAGACTATTGCAGGGGGCCAGCGAGACAGCTCAGTGGACTAAGCGCCTGCTCTGGCAAGCACAGGAACCAGGGATGGAACCCAGACACTGCATGCTGTGCCAGCCCCACCCCCAGGGCACACTGAGCCAGCAAACAAGTCTGGGTGTGGTGATGCACACCTGTACTCCCAGCAGTGGGGAGGCTGAGACAGGAGGATCACTACAAATCAAGCTGCCTAGTAAGACCCTGTACCAAATACATAAAATAAAGAAAAGGAAAAGGCTATTGCAGGGTAAAAAACAGCTGCGTTAAGTGACAGCTAGTGCTTTTTGAAAGGGTCATAAGTGCAACCCTAATGAGGGGGAAAGAATGTGCTCAGATGACAGAGTATCACCTTACACAATTTTAACTAAATAACTCTACATGAAAATTTGTCATCACTGAAGAGCAAATGGAAGCAATTTTGAATCCATTAATCCATTTTTACATAAGCATTTTTTATTTTGAACCATGATTTTTCTTAATTTTAATAGCTTATAAAACCTAACAAAGAATATATTTGAAATTTTTAACATATGTAAATATTATTTTCTAGACTCAAAAGATTATAAGACAGATACCTTTTTTGGTCAGATAGTTCATACTGTTGGCTATAGCAGCAGTCTTGCCTTGGGAATCTAAGACAGAAAATCTAGAGTAATCATCCACAAAGAAGTTATCTGTGGGGGGAAAAAAAACATTGAAACAGACATAATTAATATATCTCAATTCTATCTACTATTAGTTTTCAGCCAATAACCTGCCCCTCTGTTCATTTCCCCCAGATCTTATGCTAAAACTGCAACTATATCAAGTTAATCCCTTGTTCTAAACTATGCGCTAATTTCTTCCTACCTAGTATGATTAACCATTTGCCTGCAACCATGTTCCCTCTGTGGTGTTAGGAATGGGACCTGGGCCTCATACATGCTGGGTAAACACTCTAGCATGGGCTGCATCCCCAGCCCTCTACTCAGTCTAGTTTTTCACCTTGTTTTGTTTTGGCTTTTTGACACAAATTCTCATTATGCCGCTCACTCAGTCTGGCCTTGAACCAATCCTCCTGCGTCAGCCCCCAGGATTATAAGCATACACCACCGTGCCCAGTGTTCTACCAAGTCCTAAGCACTGTTACAACCCTAGAGACACACTACTCTTCTCAAGACTGTCTACCAAACCTACCTGCTGACCTGCTCACCCATCTCCTGGTCCGTGCGTCCATTCACCTACCCACGCTTTCACTCAACAATCCACACGGAGTGCTGCCCAGGTGTCAGGCTGTCCATGACATGCACAGGTGAGAGAACACTATGGCACTGAGAAGGAGCATCTATGTAGCTAGGATTTAGATCTTCAATGTCTTCCCAAGGCCTATGCACTAAAGAAACTGTTACTGGGATACAGTGGAACCTTCAGGAGATGGGGCCTGGCAGGAGGAAGTTAGGTCATGGGGTATGGCCTTGAGAGGTATCAGACCTCAGCCCTTTCCAGCCCCTTTCTGCTTTCTGGAAGTCTCCAAGTGAGCAGCACTGTCCCACCACATGCTCCTCACCATAATGGTCTACTCTTCCAAAGGCCCAGACACAAAGAACCAACTGATCGTGAAATAAAGCTCCTGAAACCATGAACCAAAGTAATCCATTGCTTCTTTTCAGTTGATCTTCTCAGGTACCTTGTCAAACTGATAAAAATTTGACTAACAGGTGTCTAAAAAGACTGTGGAGGCCCGGCCAGATAGCTCAGTGGACTAAAGCAGTTGCTTAGTCAGGCACAGGGGCCAGGGTTCAATCCCCCAAGTGTCATGCTGCGCTGGCCCCACCCCCAGTGTACGCTGAGATGACTGAGACTGGGTGTGGCAGCACACGGCCCGTAATTCCAGCACTTGCGAGGCTCACTACGAGTCAGAGCTGTGTAGTGATATCCTGTAGACCCTGTACTAAATAAATAAATTAAAAAAATGATGGTGGGATAGCAAACACCAGAGAAGACTGAGTGTTGGTGCAGCACCGGCCTGGTCAGGGGATACCAGTCCCTCCACACTGACACCTGCAGGAGGTTCAGCAGAGCTTGCATCTCCACCCCTGCGGACCAGCGCTGCTTCAGAGCTCGTCACAACGACACTCAGGGGAAAAGAAAATCCAAAATGTGCGCTGCTGCTGTGCTCTTTCCTCATGGATATTCCAGAACACTCGTCAAGTTTAACATAAAATGAAAGAAACAGAAACGCAGAGCAGAATCATAGTATGTTCAGCTTGCTTTAAGAAAGCTTCGGCAGCAGGCCATGAAAACGCCAGATTACTTACGGCAGTTTCTTCCTAAAATATCTGTATTTCCCTGTGTCTGTATGTTTATGTACACACACACACACACACACACACACACACACACACACAGACACACGCATATATATACATATATATGTATATGTATTATTTTTTTCTTTCAATACAGGGTCTCACTATGCAGTTTGGACTCACAGTGACCTTCCTGTCTCGGCCTCCCTAGAGCGGGGATTATATGTATGTGCCATCACACCCAGTTTCATAAACACATATTTTTAAAAGAAGATATTTACATTTTTCTCTATCTAAAAGAAATTCAGCTTCAAGTGAATTATATCGTACTTCAAAGTAACAACCATAAACAGATCTACATTTTCATTACACCCAAGTACAACAACAAATATAGTAGGTTATAACTTCATGTGTCCTTCCTTCCTCAATGGGGAAAGTTCATCACAGCTAAGTGATGACAATGCCACCTCATTTCCAAGTGTCTGCTGATGTGGCCTGCAGAGTCTCAATGGGACATGTAGAACAAGCTGCACGTGGGCTTACCTCAGTTCTTCCTAGGTTTTCAAGTGGGAAACACCCAAACACCATTGGAATACGCTACAATGGATTGGGGGTGGGGGTACTGGGAGTACAGGCAAGGCCTTTGTATGGAGCTCCATCCTCAGCCCTTTTTATTTTCAGTCATTGTCTCACTAACTTACCCAGGCTGGGTTCAAGCTCAAAAATCCTCCAACCTCAGCCTCCGAGAGAGCTGAAATTGCACACCAAATTTATTTATTTATTTAATATTTTTATTTTTGGTGGAACTGGGGATTAAACTCAGACTATTGCGCTTGCCAGGGAAGTGCTTATTTCACTGAGCCACCTCCCAGGCCCCTGCACACCAAATTTATTAATGGAATTATTTAAATCATTGTTAAAAGATGAAATACCATTATATTAAAAGAATGAATTGTAGAAGCTTACTAAATGAAAGAAACCAGGTGCAAAAGGCTTCAACAATATAAAATGTTGAGGACAGGCAAATTCCTAGACTAACCAGATTAGCCACTGCCAGAGGATAGCAGCAAGGGAAAGCAGGTACCTAGTCATGGATGTACGGGTTCATTTTGGGGTGGATAACACTCTAATATTACATGGTGGTGATGATCTATACAACTCTGAGAATAAACTAATAATCAGTCAACTGTGCACTTCAAAAGCTTGAATTTGGGGTTGAATAGGATATAGCTCAGTACCAGAGCACTTGCCTAGCATGTTTGAGGTCCTGGGTTTGACCTCCAGCACTACAAGGAAATAAACGTCTGATTGTTTTATGGTGTATACATCTCAGTGAAAGTGCCATTTTTCCCCCAAAGGCATACTCAAGTTCTCAGAATAAAATTAATTACGATGTTTGTCGACATTTTTGATAATAGATTCTGCAGTGAAAATGAAGAAAACTGCTTAAATGCTTTATGCCTATAAAACAGGTCTATTCTTATCCTCTAATGCCTGTTTAGCTGGACTTTAAGCTGAACTGAGTATTTTTCAAATTTTACAAGCTTTAAGCAGGAAGACTATCTTCCATAAAATGAAATCATTATAAATGTGGAAATTAAAGTTATGAACTCAAGGTGAATTGAATTTAAACATAAAATTATGGCACAATCTTATGGCTGGGCATGGTTGTGCATGTCTGTAATCTCAGTAGCACTCAGGAGGCTGAGGCAGGAGGATCATTACAAAGATTCATGACTAACCTGGGCTACAAGGCTAGCCTAAACTGCAGAGTGAGACCCTGTCTTAAAAAAAATGCCAAAAAAAAAAAAAAAAGTCACAATCTTGAGTTATCTTCACATTATTATCTAATAAATGCAAATAATCCAAACTATAAATCAAAAAGCATAAAGTTATTTTCTGAAAGGATCCTTACTGCTTGCTGTTAAATCCAGATACTCTCGTTCAGCTGTCAAAACCCTAGAATTGATTCGTGGAACAACATTGGGCTGGTTCATGATATACTCTACCACATCTTGATCATGAGACAGTTCACCCTGTAAGAAAAAAAGAAACAGAGGGGAGGGCACTAAGTGAATAGCACCAAGAGTAATCCACTGGAACTCAAACATTAGCGCTATAATAGCTTTTAATGTGTTACTGTCACCTAAAGACAGAACTAGAGGCCCACCATTGCCAAGCATAGCTGCGTATTCTATGCATAGTATCAGGTGGAAAATGATATTCATTTTAAAATCTGAGGAAAGAAAAGCTAAATAACTTTCTCAAGGTCACAGAGCTAATGGGTTACGAACATGAAATGCAAACACTCTCCACATACAACTATGTTTCCATAAACAAAAAGCAAGCTCTGCTAATTAATTAACACAGCACAAGCAGAAATCCATTTGAGATCTACTCAAAGATAGCTTCTTTCTAAAGAACAAAACTAAAGGCCTACTCATGAGCAGTTAATGTACTTAATGTAATAAAAAACATTCTAAACTTTTTCCAATCTTAGATATTTGAGTAACCCTACATCTCCTAAGTCATAATCATCATAATTACCTTGGGAAAAGCAAAGATTGTTTGTCACTTAATCTTCTCCTCTGAGCATCTCATTATAGAAATAGCTATTTCTCATAAAAGTGATCTTGGGAGTATACGTTAATAACGTCTGGAAATCTCCAAATTGATCATAATTAAAATATTTTAATATAAAGGCATATTTTAATGTCATTTTCGAGAGAAAGCTAGGACTCAAACATACACATTCAAACCTAAAACACTGCCATTAAACATCTTTTGTAATTATATACCACAGAAGATATGCAAAATCTCAAATGGTAAACTAATAATGACTATATGAACCAGCCACACACCTCAAAACACACACACACACACACACACACACACACACACACACACACGTTTTTAGGAAGAAAACATAACTAGTGAGGATAGAAATAAATGGGTGAAAGATTCTCATTTGTATTTCTTTATCCATTTTAAACTACATATCATCTAGCAAACATGACTCTTTATGTACTCAAAATTTTAAACGTGCATTACCCTCTGACACCACAATTCCAACTCTTGATATTTCTCAAAAATTGTATGAAGATTCGACCCAAGTCAGACATGAATGAGACTGCCTGGGGTCTGCTGTGTCCTCATTCGACCCAGAGCCCAGGCCTGGCATGTGAGTGGAACTTCCTCCATCAGACAGGCCTGGTGTGAAACCCTGGGGCAGAACTCCCTGCAGAGAGGCTGAGGGCAAGACCCACACAGCTGATCCAGGAGCAGAGCATCTTGCCAGAGTGGCACAGAGAGTTTACCTCCAAGGGCTGCAGCAGAAAGAAGTGCAGCACAGCAGCCAGACCCAAATCACACCTGCCTGGACAACTTTGAACTTGGCAGATCCAGACCTTATGCTAAAGTAATAACTCTATCAAAGCTTTACACCAAAGGTCAAAAGACAGTGCTATACAACATGACAAAGAGAAGGAGCAAAATGCATTCTCAGGCCCCAAGCCCACCCAGAACAAATGCAGGAGACAACAGCATAGAAGAAATTGGAAATTACCCATCTGAAATCTCTGAAATAATAGTGTTGGAAGTAAAGAAACAACTGCACAAAGGTATAGAGGAAATCAGATGAGAAATAATTTCTGAAGTAAAAAGAGAAATGATAACTATAGTGAAAGTAGTACTAAATGCTTTTAAAGAAGACACTCATTAAAAAATAGAGGAGAATAGAAAAATGATGGAATCCTTGAAATGAGCAATATAAGAAAGAAACAGAATGCATGAAGCAGATTCAAATGCTATACAGGAAATTAAAACCTCAATCACAAGCTGGCAAAACTTTGAATGAAAGTGAAAACAGACTTTCAGACCTTGAAGACACCACTGCAGGTCGTGAAAAGGTAAGAAAAGATCTCCTAAAAACAACTAGAATGGGCCAGGGAAATAGCTCAGTAGAATAAGCACTTGCCTGGCAAGCTCAAGGTCTTGAGTTCAATCCCCAATACCAGAAAAAAAAAAAAAACCAACTAGGATGCAAGACTACTAGGCATTAATGAGAAAGGATGAGTCAATACAAATGATATAAAAACAATCTGGGCAGAATAGCAGAAAACTTCCCAAATATGGGGAAACAATCTGACATTCAGGTAACTGAAGCATATACAACTCCAAATAACACCAACCCAATTAAAACCACACCCAGACATATAATAATCAAGATCACAGAAATTCAGCACAGGAACAGTATATTAAAAGCCATGAGAGAAAAGAAACGTCAAATTTAAAGGAAAACCGATCAGAATAATGGCAGATTTCTCTTCACAAACCACCAAGTCAAGAAGAGCATGTGTACTACAAATCTTGCAAGAAAACAAATTCAAACCCAGACTGATATACCCTGCAAAACTCTCTTTCAAGTACAATGGAGAAGTGAAATACTTCCATGAGAAAGAAAAACTAAAGAATTCCATGACGACAAAGCCAAGCCTACACAGACTACTAAATGATGTTCTAAAGAGGGAGCAAAATGATCACAGCCCCATGAATGAGAATGGAAAGAACCCGCCAAATAGGGCGAACAATTAAACACAGGAGAATAAGAGGTATACAAAACCATTATTTCAACTATCCTTTTGTATACAGCAGCAAAATATTTCCATCAGCATACTCTACAAATGGACCTCTCTTACACCCTACGGGGCATGATTCTATCCAGGTCTACAGGGTAGTATCAAGGAAATAGCAGTAGCTCAGTCCCACAAGTGACACCTGGCCACCAGGAAGCGTCATGGACACTGTCCAGGTCCACAACATACTAGAACTTCGTGCAGTCTAGTTTCTTACACACTTGCTCTTTTTTTTTTTTTTTTTTTTTCTAATGTGGAATGAGATGCTATTTAGTTTTGTTCTTCCATGGCTAATTTTTAATTTTTTTCATAGTTATTTTTTTTATGTGTATGCTTTAATGATTCTTTTTTCTTTAGAATTAGTTTTGGACATTTCATTTTTGTGTATCTTGGTATGATTTTATTCAAATTTCTTGTGAAAAGGTTCATTTTTCTTGGAAATGTGGTATCATAATTTCAACTAAACTCAAAAATTTTTAATTTTTAAATATTTATTGCTTACCCCCTTTCTACTTTAAGAATCCTACTTATATGAATGTAAGTTTCTTGAATTTGCCACAGAGTGAACTATTATATGACTGATCTATAAATTCTTTTTCAGTTTTATTTTTGACAACTTTTATTGTTATATTCATTTAAGTTTGGGAATAATTTATTTACAATGGGCAATCTATGATTAATTGTATGCTACATATTCATTTCAGAAATATTTCTTGGGGCCAGGGAGATAGCTCAGTAGGGTAAGTGCTTGCCTGGCAAGCGCAAGGGCCTGAGTTCAATCCCCAGTTCCGCCAAAAAAATAAAATAAATATTTCTCTAAACTTCACTCTGTCTACATCTTATATCTTTCACACTTCAATATTTGTCTATACTATTTAATATGTTATATAATTATAGATTTTCAATAAAGTTAATAAGAAAAAAATTGCATGAACATATACATATTACTCACAGTATACTAAAAATATATATACACATAGCTCTCTAGGACTGATAGTAAAGAAAGAACTTTGACTTAGAAAAGAGTACACGAACATACATTATTTTCTAGCGCAACCAAACTTCTCACTAACCATACATGTAAAATGAAAACTAACACTCATTCACACAGGGGCTAATATTTTTAAGAGGTTACTTGTATTAACAAGAGATATGTTATCTGAAAAATGAAAAAAGCTCTGTGCTAGAAGGAGTATTTTTCAACCTTAAAATGAAAGAGGTGTCTGAAAAAGAGATGAATTCCTACAGACAAAAAGCAGAGTAGTGGGAGCCAGTATCTGGGGAAGGGGACAGTAAGAAAAGGGTCTTACTGTTTAATGGGTAGATAATTTCTGTCTGAAATGATGAAAAAGTTCTGGAATGTGATGGGGGCATGGTTGCACAGGATTATGACTGTACTAAATACCCCTGAATCACATACTTACAATAGTAAATTTTATTATATAATTTTACTAAAATAAATTTTTAAAATATATATTCTGACTTAAGAGTTATTATCGACATCACTGGTATTTAATACTTGAGAATGCCATTCAAGAGAAATGACAGCAAAGATCTTTGAAAAGCTTCTCTTCAAAAGAAACTCTGAGAACACTAGAAATAAAAAGTTAAAATCAACTTTCCTGGGCTGGGGAGACAGCTCAGCAGTCTAAGCACCTGCCTGGCAAGTGCAAAGACCTGAGCTTGATCCCGGTACTGCATGCCATGCTAGTCCCAGAACCCGGGGCGCACCTTGCTCGCCACTGAAACAGGTGCACAACTATAATCCCAGCACTGGCGAGGCTGAGACAGGACAATCACTATAAGTCTGAACTGCGTAGTGAGACCCTGTATCCAGTAAATAAATAAAAAGAAAAATAAAATAAAATCAACTTTCCCAACCCTCCTTTTTGTGGTACTGGGAACTGAACTCACAGCTTGCACTTACCTGCCAGGCAAGTACTATGCTGCTGAACTATATCCCTGGCCCCTAAAACTCAATAAATTAACTATAGGTTTACAAACTTCCGAGGGGCATTTATTCACTAAAAAGTAAATCTGAGTGAAAAAATGATCTTTGTAACATTTTAATTTGCTTTCTTCTTTTTAAGAGAAGGTCTCACAAAATAGTTTAAACTGATCTTGAACTCCTTATGTGGCCCAGGCTGAACTCAAACTCTCAGCAGTGTTCCTACCTCAGCCTCCCAAGTGCTGGGCTTATAGATGTGAGTCACTGTACACAATCCAACTTTGCCCCCTTTCTATTTACCTCTCTCAGCTGACAAAGCTTTGAAAACCAACAGCCCAACAATAAATGTTAAGACTAGCAAAGCAGGAGATCCTAGGGGCTTTGTCAGTTTGCACTGAAGGAGATCTTAGTGCCAACACCACAGATTTTGTCAAAAACAATCAGGAGCACATCACTAGCCATCCATGAAATGCAAATTAAAACAACACTGAGATAACATCTCACCCTAGAAAGAATGGCTATCACAAAGAAACCAAGTGTTGGACAGGATGTAGGGAAAAAAGAACCCTTCTCCTCTGCTGTTGGGAATGTAGACTGGAGAAACCGCTATGGAAATCAGTATGGAGACTCCTTAAAAAACTAGGACTGCAAATCTCATTCAATCCAGTTATCCCCCTATTGGGAATTTTCCCAGAAGAACTGAAAACATCATATCACAGTGATATATGTGCAATTATGTTTATTGCAGCACAATTTGTCATAGCCAAATCTTGGAAGCAACCAAAATGCCCGTTACCTGAGGAATGGATGAAAAAGATGTATTTTTATACAACAGAGTATTACTCAACTATAAAGAATAATAAACTCGAAGATTTCATATATAAGTGGATGCCACTTGGAAAATATACTCAGAAGTTAAATAAACCAGACCCACATGTGTAAATATCATATAGTCTCCCTAGTGTAAGAACTCAAAAGAAGAAATAAAAATAGAAAGGTATAACACAATTAAAAGGAAAGCGAGGGGCCGGGGAGATGGCTCAGTAGGATAAGCGCTTGACTGGCAAACGCAAGGATCTGAGTTCAATCCCCGGTTCCACCAAAACAAAAAAAAAAAGGAAAGCGAGAACTTAAGAATTAAATAACAAAGAGAGAGCAAGGAGAAAAGCTAGGAAACATGACAGGGGCAAAACCAGACATTTATATACACAAGATCGTTAAGGCAATGATCCTGAGAATCTTCAGTATGTTTTTGAAACTAGCAGTTAATTGGTAGGATTCTCACCCTGACTAATTATATATGCTGATACCTGTGAACTAAGCAACTGCACCAAGGATAGCAATGTGTGATACTAGGTCCATGCTTGGAATGCTTGTCATTCTGGTCTCCTAAACATGTACTGCTTTTAATGTTATATCAATTACTGCTGTACTGTCTCTCAAAAATATGTAATTGTCTATTCCTACTTTTTATTATTATTTTTTTTTTTTTTTACTTTTTTTCCCTCCACATTCTGCAGGGATTTAAAGTTTGACATATCAATACTTGATGGAAAATACCTGTTGCATGTTACGTCTAAGATGTTTGATATTCAGACAGATAGTGAGGTTAATAAGCTCAACTGCCTATGTTATAGGGTAATAATAGCATTAAGCTTCTCTTCTGGAGGGTTAACAACCTAAGTTTGCAGACCAAAAATGAGAGAAAAAGAAGGTCTACAAGGACAGCCAACATTTTGGCCCTAGCCTTTCAAGGTCAGTGAGGACTCAGGACATAAGAGAACCTGTACTGTAACATCCTATAACTCAGTTGTGTCCCTAAATTTCTGATCAGGGAGATTATGGGGCCACAGAGGAAAGTGATTGATGATGTAGAGTGTGCCTAAGGAGAGTTACATGGAGAGAAAACATTCTCTCAGGTTTTCACAGAGAGCAAATTGGTCAAGCAATGGCCGTGACTCATCCACAGGGCTGACACTGACAAAGGATCTACAATCTGAGATACAGGGTTTCAGGGTAAATCCTGAGGGGATTTGACTGATCTTATTAGATACAAAAGTTAACATTTCTTGTTATATAGGTCTTGCTTTATCTTGGTCTTAACCATCCAGCAGAAAAGTAAAGCCATATTAATATGCTGAGCTATAAAAGGTTCAAGTCAACAACTTCTGACATTGCCAGTCCTACGGATAACCCACTACTATCATGGACTACTGAACTATAATGGAGGGGCTGGAGAAACGGCTCAGTAGAATAAGTGCTTGCCTGACAAGCGCAAGGGCCTGAGTTCAATCCCCAGTTCCACCAAAAAAAAAAAAAAAGACTTGAACTATAATGGATTATTTTGCTGAATTCAAGCACCTATAATATTTAAATAGCAATGGAATAGCCATCTCTGACAAAACTAAACAAAATAGGTGGATATAAATAAAGGACCATTTTTTATCTGTATATACAAAATAGGACAGATATACAGCTCCTTTCTCTTAATTCAATGAGAAGAAAGATTTATACTAATAGTTTAGACAGGATATCATGTCTACATCTTGGACTATGAATAACTACTACGAAGACAACAATATGCAATGTATTAATTATTGTAACTGTCCTACTAACTTGTCTTGAAACTGTCTCATTGCTATTTGTTTCTCAATACAATTAATTTTTAAAAAATTAGGAGCAATTGTTTAATATCTCAATTACCTGCGGCAGTAATAACCAAGTAACACAAGGCTGGAAAAATATAACCCATAACATAATATGGAATATTATATGTATTTGACAGAATATATATTATTGGTTTTGTCCACCCTGCCAAAACTTATATATATTATATTAAAAAAAGTATGTACACAGAGAAGTAGCCAGTATATACTGTCAGAAAGCCCAATCACTGGATTTAATACACAAATAACTTAAATAAGCTATTTTAAATATATTCAAAGGTCTGTGAAAAAAAAAAACTATGTCCACGAAAATAAAGTTTGAGAAGAATTGAACATGTAACCCCCAACAGGCTGAGATGTACCTTCGTGGTAGAGTGCTTGTCTTTCATGTCCAACGCCCTGAGTTTAGTGTCCAGCACCACAAATTAAACTGTGTGTGCTAGTGAATGAAATATGTACTAGAGGGGCACGAGAGATTTTAATTAACAGAAGGAAAAAAATCAGTGAACTAAAAAATAGATCAAGTAAGATTATCAATCTAAAATAAACACAGAGATCCCCGGTAAAACTATGGCATCCATATTATGTTTTTCTTTTACAACAAAAGATGCTAATGTATGAGTTGTCTGTTACTAATCTAAAACCTCAGTATCAGCACTCTTGCTCTTTGCCGCCGCCATGAAAGGTTGCCCTCTGCTATGTGCTGCTCTGCGTTGGACCCAGCTGAGTATGGACTGAAACCTCCAGTAACTGTGAGCTAAATAAACCTTTCCTTCCTTCAAAAATCAATCAATCAATCAATCAATCAATCAATCAATCAATCAATCCTCAGTATCAGGCTTAACTGCAGTGCTGGCACTTTATAATAAGTGAGCTTGAGGTGGCAGTTTGGGCACTTGTCTCTAAAAGGTCTGGCATCACTGCAGTAGAGTGTTAACATGTGCGTGTCTCCTAAGTGTTGTATACAGAAGCAATATGTAGTAATTAATTAGGGTGGCTTTTGTCCATGCTTCATGAGAGGTAACCTCACAATCCAGTGGGATCTCTGCTGTTCACAGTAGTCCCCTCAGATCGCACCTGACAGTTTACACCATAAAGTCACAGAGGCTAGGTCCCTAGTTCATGCTAACAAGATGAGTCAGATGGAACATACTATAAAGACCAACCATATGATTAGAGGGTTGAGGTTTCGAGCAGCAAAGTAGTACGTACTTTACTACAGTAAAGTAGTACATAGAAAATGATAGCTAAGAAATTTTATTACCTACCACGGAAGCTATAAAAACGTAAGCCAACTGTTCTCTTTAAAGTCGGCCTTGAAGTGTCACTCACCAAGTACACTGCTCTCTGGAAGAAGGTGGTAGTCTCCAGGATTTTGTGCATGGTGATGGTTTCCAACTCATCAGGATCTAGCTGTTCCTTTTCAAAGGGGATTCCATTGAACAGAACAACAGGCAGAGGGCCAATGCCAGTCTGCTCATAGTATCCTCTTGCTTCCTAGAACACAAAAAAACCGTAAAACACATTTCTTCCCTCATAGCACAAATGGAACTAAAAATAGTTTTCTTAAATGCTATACTAAGAAGAACAAAACCAAAAGCAGTAACGGTAAAGAAATAACTAACAATAGTTCTTTAAAAAGTGACATCTACAATTAATAGTCCAATGGGCAAATTTAAGATTGAATTAATGGGAATTTTTTGTAACATCACAAAAACTTTGCAATTAGAGCATGTGTATGTATACATATGAGTATGTGTTGTCCAGCCTGCCAAAACCAAACTATATAGACTGCAGCCAGCATTGTGAACACCATTCTTTCACGATGGAAAAATATTGTCCAAGTTGTCTAATGTAGCAGTCACTAACAAACATGGGGCAGCTGAGCATCTGAAATCTAGCTATTGTAACGAAGTAATTAAATACTTACATTCAGTTTTGATCAATTTCCATTTAAATGGCCACATGGGCTACAAAAAATTAAAAGTGCTGTTGGGAAGAACACTGAACTAAAATTATTTACACTCAATTCTAAATAAATATGGGAACTGGACGTGATGCCACATGCCTATAATTCCTAGCTAGCACTTGGGAGGATCGCTATGAGATCAAGTCCAGCCTGAACTCCATAGCAAGATTCTAAGAATAAATACATAAATGTTCACATTACTATCAAATACATTGTACCAAAAAAAACAAAATAAACTTTGTAGAAAAACAGTGCTCACAAGTGCTTTAAGATACATTAATCCCAGTCTTTTTCCTTTTTGAAAACAAAGAAGCTCTAGGAAGGAAATGACAGGACAAAAAAATGGCAAATGGATCTGAGGCAGACACTTTCTATATTCCAAGGATACTATTCCTGAAACTAACAAAATTCCACAGTAAAAGACATAGACAGTTAATTTAAAATTACTCTTCAAAGGAGGGATACAAGGAAAGCCAACATTTTGGCCCTAGCCTTCTAAGGTCAATTAAGACTCAGGACATATGAGAACTTGTACTGTAACGTCATGTACCTCGGTAGTGTCCCAAATTTTCTGATCAAGAAGATTATGGGGCCAAAGAGGAAAGTGATCGATGACGCAGAGTGGGCCTAAGGAGAGTCACATGGGGAGAAGACACTCTCTCAGGCTTTCACAGAGAGCACATTGGCCAAGCAATGGCCGTGACTCATCCACATGGCTGCACTGATAAAGGTTCTACAATCTGAGGTACAGGATCTCAGGACAAATCCTGAGGGCATTTCACTGACCTTCTCAGACCAAAAAGCTACAACTCTTGTTGCACAGGTCCTGCTTTACCTTGGTCTTAACCATCCAGCAGAAAAGTATGAAGTCGAAATATAAGAAATAAAGCCATGCTGTTAAGTTGAGCTGTGGGGGACTCAGGTCAATAATTTCTGACATTGCCAGTTAAACAGAAGACCCAATGCTATTATGGGCTACTGGACTCTTTTAGAATATTTTGCTGAGTTTACACACCTATAATATTCAATAAAGGAACTTAGAAAAAATGGGGTATACCAATGAATGTCCATTTTGTATCTGTGTATTCAAAGAGGTTGGGATAGATATATAGTTGCATTCTCTTAATGAATAGAATGATTTGTTCTAATGGTGTTTGTAAACAGGATCACAAGTCCGCATCTTGTACAGCAATTAACCACTAAGAAGAATATATGCAGTGTATTATTTGTTGAAACTGTACTTCCGATTTGATTTGAAACTGTCTCATTGCTGTTTATCAATAAAACTTTGAAAAAAAAAAAGGTGGTACAGTACAGTACAACAGCTATTAAAAAAAAAAAATAAATAAATAAATAAATAAAATAAAATTACTCTTCAACATCCTGTAACTGATCCTTTCTGAAAATTGTAGAATTTAATTACTCATAACACTTTGTAGACAGTACAAATAGATGATTCCTATTGGTAACTGATGCCAGTCATCAATAACAGACTATTTAGCTTTTCATCAGATCTAGTTACTGACTACATAATAGCATGTAATTTATTGGTTATAATATGGATGAGTCCCCAAAAGGCCTCAGCTCCTTTCAGCTATCTCTCTGTACCATTAAGAGGTTTACATTTGTACTGCCTAAGCTTTTATTTACCATATTTACACAGAGAAAAGGAGCTGGCAAATAGTTCAGCTTGCCCAGTATGCAGTCCACCCTCAACACGAAGAAAGAAAAAGGGAGCAAAGCAAAACAAGCAGGCAGGCAGACGTAAGCTCAAGCTCAGCCGGGCCACTCAGTGAGATCCTATATCAAAACAATTTTTTGTTGGTTGTTTTTGTTTCTTAGTCAAGCTTTCATAGTGCCGTTCAGGCTGGCCTCAAATTCCCAGGCTGGCTTTGAACTCTCACCAGTCCTCCTGCCTCAGCCTCCTGAGTGATAGGATTACAGGTATGCACCACCATGCTTGGCTCAAATATTTAAAAACTTGTAAGGTGTGCAGCCTGATGGGAAGGGCTAAGATTCAATCCCTAGGACTTAAACTGCAACAAAAAGAAAAACTGAAAAGGTAATGAGTAACTGAATAGAAGGTTACAATACAATAACTGTTTTTCTTGGTTTTTTAATTCTCTTTAAAAACTACAAATTAGGTGGCTCTGTGGCGCCATGGATAGAGCATTGGACTTCTAGTAACGAATAAAAACTACCAAAAAAAAAAAAAACAGTTCACAGCAGATTAAAGTACCTGCAAGCAGACACAGGGGAAGGGGTTCAATCCGGGGCCTGCCCTGCCGGGCCCACCCCTGGGGCTCGCTGAGACTGTGATTGAGACTGGGCGTGGCGGCACATGCCCATAATCCCAGCTCTTGGGAGGCTGTAAACAAGTGATCACTACGTCTTATCTTTTTTTTTTTTTTTGGGGGGGGGGCGAAGTTCAGACTGAACTCAGGCCCTTGTGCCTGACAGGCAAGCACTTATTCTACTGAGCCATCTCCCTGGCCTAGTCTAGTGAGACCCTGAACACTCTGTTTTTTTTTGTTGTTGTTGTTGTTTTTTAATTTTTTATTTATTTGTGTGTGTGTGTGTGGCCAGCTCAACCCACCAGGGGGCGGGGCTGGCTGGCATGTGGTGCTGGGGGATTGAACCACGGTCCCTGTGCTTTGCTAAGCTTGCTCTAAGTTGGTGCTTTAGACCACTGAGCCATCTCACCAGCCCCTGAACACTATGTTGATCCTTCCCTAAAAATACAAAAACAAAACAAAAAAAAAACAGTTCAAATAAATAATGGAACGATTTTCAAAACAGCTTTAATGCTGAGCCTGACTCCACCTTTTTTTTTAATTCTTTTTTTATTTTAGGGAAGGGTCTACAGAATGCTCAGGGTCTCATTACTAGATCAGACTCATAGTGATCCGTCCGTTTACAGCCTTGCAAGAGCTGGGATTACAGGGGCACACTACCTTGCCTAAACATAGTTTTCTTTTTCTGGCTGGCTCAGGTTGCCTTAAGAGTGGGTTTGGTAAAGCATGTAGAGCTGGAGATAGAACCACAGTCCCCTGCAACTGACTTGGTTTGCATAAGCAGGCGCTTAAACAACTGAGCTAACCCGCAAGGCCCTGACTCCATATTTCCTAAAACAAAAGGATTTAATACCACAACACAATCGCACAGAAGAAAAAGGCAAACTGGCCCCCTCAGGGGTAAGTAAGACAGGAAAGGAGAAGCAAAGAGCCTTAAGAAGCATTATGTTTCCCTTATCAAGTCCCCATGATGAGGGTAATTGTTATGTACCACATACATGGAGTAATAAAATTCTCCTTTTTAAATTTCTCTTTCCGAAGGTAACAATATACAAGTAGAAATTGTACTCAATATCAATGTACGCAGGTGCTGGTATAGAACTAGGATTTCATTAGTTCTATACTCAATGTCAATGTACACGTAGAATAAACCTGTCCCGCTAGAAACCTGAATTCACAAAGCTGGCCATTGTCATACCCTCCAAGAAGCTTGCCACAATCACCTGCCCCCTCAGCAGAGCTGCCAGTCACAGCACTGTGCCTCCCTGCACGGGCACAAGCAGTGAGAACGCCAGCTACTAATGCCACAGTACTGCTCTCCTCTGTTGTCTCCCTAGCTCACCAAGAACAGGCCACACGTCCTTCTGAGCCTTGTAATACCAGGGATGGCACAGGGAAGTTGCCTGGTACTATCGTTAAATGTTCTAAAATTAAAACTTTACTCTTTGTTCCTAAATAATTCAGCTATTTCCCTAGCATTGTTAAGAAATGTTTTATTTATTTAAGTATTTGTAGTACATTTATTTACATACCACACAGTGTGGACTCCTAGTGATGCTCCTGTCTCAGCGTCCCCAGCACTGGGATTATAGGTGTGTGCCATCATGCCCAGTTTCAATGGCTGGCATGGTATGAGGTACCAAGGCTCGAACCCGGGTCCTTGCATTTGCCAGGCAGGCACTTAGACTGCCGAGCTATCTCCCTGGCCCATTCCCTAGGATTCTTATTCTTGCTAACTCATGATCCCTCTGAAAACTAGATCAATTTGTAGTGGCAGATCTCCTCACCAATCTCAACTAAGTTAACCAATTCACAAATGCTAATTGCTTCACTGGGAGCCTTGGATCCCTGGCAGTTTTACAAAACATTTGTTGGGCTCCATTTGAAGAAATATCTCAGATCATTAATGAGCACAACTATGAACCAATTCATATTGTGGTATTCAATGCTAGCATTTTTGGACAGCACCAAGTCCCAAGTTTTTGAAGATCATAGCCTACTATCATTACGTATTCAAAACCTGAATCTGAATAACTTCACCAAAACTTGGATCTTGGGGGCCAGGGAGATGGCTCAGTAGAGTAAGTGCTCGCCTGGCAAGCGCAAGGGCCTCAGTTCAGTTCCCGGTTCCACCAAAAGTAACAACACCACTTAGGTCTTCCCGCAAAGCTTCACGTCGCATCTACGTGAAAGCTTGCCACTGAACCGTCTCAGCGAAGTAAACGCTTGGAGGGCTGAAATCCACAAACACACTCCATCTTATACTTCTCTTTATACTTTCTTGTTCTTCCTGAAGCACAGAAAGAATACTTTCCAAAAACTGTATGATTTATAGCCATGAGTTTTCACATTAGAGAAGAAAAAACTTGACACAAATTTACAACTAGGTGTCTGTTTGTATCCTATCAAAAGCATAATCAATAACAAGAAAACGAGGATGAAGTAACTAAAGTAATTCAGGTTAGACTAGTCTCGGAAACTTTGCTGCCCAGCGAAACGGCCCTGGACCTCTTTTTCTACCTCTACCTCTTGGGAAGTATGCGCTAACTGAAATGTCATTTAAGCTCCCTGCAGTTTAACCTCGTTATCTGCGAGGATAGTCTGGTAACGTGCATGCTACCTCACAGATTTCTTGTGAGCATAAATGAAATAATGTACATAAAAAGCCTTCTTTGGAAAAGAGTGTTCTGTTACATTCCCTCAGCTCCGAGGCCTGGATTCTCGACAACCAAAGCGCAGTGAAAGTAGGCTGGACACGTGCTAACAAGGCTATGATAACCCCGCCCGTCACTATCTTGGGGCAAGTTACAAGGGAAACACTATATATCTCCCAAATTAGAAAGTGCCGCGGATAATCTCTAAAACAGTTAAGTTAGCCATTATAATATTAGTGGCTAAATTTGTTGACCAACTGGTGACTAGCAATTTTTTAAGTGAAATAAAACAGAATAGTTCATACTATATCCCACATAGAGCAAGTATCATTTTAGTCATATATTTGAGGCTAAAATAATGCATATATATATATATATATATATATATATAACATATAAATTAATATTTACTTAAGTATATTATACATGTAATATATTTATTTGGTCATTAAAGTGACTTTTCCCCCTGTGATTCGTACAAGAAAAAAAACCACAATGAACACTTACCCTGGTGAGAACTCTAAAAGGCCGACACTTTTCTCCTGTCAGTTGAACTACAGGGTTAGCAACAATTAGCTGGTCTGTTCCTAATGCTTCTATTTTTTGTTATCAAAATAACATGACTGAAAACCTTACGTGAATTAAATACAAGTACAAAAAGAGAAGACTGCTCTGCCTACAAAAACAAACTGAATGACTGAACACTCAAAAAGGTGAGCGGTAAAAGCCAACTTAGGCTAAACTGGATGTCAGTCAGACAGCTATAAAACACATGTGGAGATCATGAAATCATCTAGAGCTTTTTGTACTCAGATGATAAGCGAATTACAAACAATTCCATTCTGGGCTGGCGAGACAGCCTGGTGGACTAAGCCCATGCTTAGTCAAGCACAGGAGGACCAGGGTTTGATTCACGGCACCATATACTGTGTTAAACCCACCACGGCGATCGGGCATGGTCGCACACACCTGTAACCCCAGTGCTGGGGAGGCCGAAAACAGGAGGATCACTCCTAGTTCAAGCTGCGTACTGAGACCCTACACCAAATATATAAATTTAAAAAAAATTCTGAGTATGGTTCGGAAATGGTAGTTCAGGTCTCCAAACAGAAAAAAAAGGCTTTATTTCTTTTTCCTTTTTTGGGGGGGGAGGGGGGGGCAGGGGCTGCCTTAAGGGCAGGTCTGGTGCAACTTCTGGAGCTGGTTATCAAACCGAGGTCCTACACGCCTGACTGCATTTGCCCAAGAGGCGCTTTATTTATTTATTTATTTATTTATTTATTTATATTGGCGGAACTGGAGATCGAACTCAGGCCCTTTCAGGCAAGCGCTTATTCTACTGAGCTATCTCCCTGCCCCGTCCCCCCCCCAGGGGAGCTTTAAACAACTGAGCTATCTGGCAAAGCAGCCCTAAAACGATTTTTTTTTTTTTTGAGGGGGGAACTGGATGTTGTACTGAGGACCTGCCCTTGCCAGACAGGCACTTAAGTGGCTGAGCCATCTCCCCAGCCCCAAAAGGCTTTATTTCTTAGTTGAGAAAACAAATCTTAGGTGAGTAACTTTCATATATCATAAATTAAAATGCTCTAGAAACTTTTTGTCACTTTTGCTTTCATGGGATTTTGTGTTGTTGTTGCTGTTACTGTATGACAACACTGTCCTATAGCTTTGGCCCAGCTATACCACCTTTTAAAATTTGGAAGCAGGGTTTTGCTAAATTGTTTACACTAGCCTTGAATGCATGATCAAGAAAGCAGCTATGATTATAAGCACGTACCATCAAGCCCTGCCAGAAATTTCTTTTTTTTTTTTTTTTTTTTTTATTTTTGTGGAACCAGGGATTGAACTCAGGCCCTTGCACTTGCTAGGCAAGTGCTTTTTTTAGCGATAGGGTCTCACTATGTAGTTCAGGCTGGTCTTGAACTCTCAGTTGAAGTCTCTCAGGTGCTGGGATTATAGGTGGGCACTACCACGCTGGCATGACTTCTTGCTTTTGTATAAATTGTCAATGAACTTCACAACTCTTCAAAGAACTTGTGTATAACAGATAAATAGATGTATACTATACATACGTATATATGCATTTTTTTTTTCCTTTTTTTAATGTATTCAGTACAGGGTCTACATTATCTCACTGCATAGACTGGACTCGTAGCGATCCTCCTGTTTTCAGCCTCCCAAGCACTGGGATTACAGGCGCGGTCCACCACGCCCAGTATCAATCTCTGTCTCAGCACGCCATGGGGATGAGGCCGCACAGCAGGCTGGGGATCAAAGCCTGGCCGCTATGCTCTGCCTAAGGAGGCACTTCAGTCTACTGAGCTACCTGGCCAGCCCTTCCTTTTTTTTTTTTTTTAAACACAGGTTGACCTTGAACTCACTATGCAGACCAAGTTGGTCTCAAATTTTCTCCTGCCTCCGCTGGATTACAGGTATATGCCACCACACCTGGCTTATTTTATTATATTTAATACCTTACAAGAAAAAATTATCTTTAAGTAAAAAAATTTTTAATTGACCCTATTATTACTTACTAATCTGTTTATTCCAATTCTTAACATATGTCCATCCTCAATCTAAATAACTAAATAAAGCCAATATGATATGTACTAAGCTGTACATCATCTCCTGGTACCACATTTCCACCAGATTTATCTAGAACACACTTTATACAAGCACTACTACTACATTATATGAGAAAGAAGGGGCTGGGGAGATAGCTGTGTTCTAAACACCTGCCTGGCAAGCATAAGGACCCAGGTTTGACCCCTAGTACCACATGCCATGCCAGCCTGGGACCCCGGGCACACAGTGCAGGCCCCAAAACTGGGTGTGGTGGCACATGCACGCCTGAAGGCTGAGGCAAGAGGATCACTACAAGTCTGAGCTGTGTTGTGAGACCCTGTACCACATAAATGATTTTTAAAAAATTTTTAAAAAACAAAGGGGCCGGGGAGATGGCTCAGTAGAATAAGTGCCTCCCTGGCAAGCGCAAGGGTCTGAGTTCAATCCCCAGTTCTGCCAAAAAGAAAATTTAAAAAAAAGACAAGAAAAAGAAATTGCTTCCCAATTTTACAGCTAACAGGCAAGTTAAAAATTAGTGACATCTTCATGAAATTGAAATATAAAACCACTTTTTCAAACACTAAAAAGTGATGTGATTTCTAAATTTTTATATGCTAGCTGGATGCAGTGGCATGTACCTATAATTTCAGTTACTCAGCCAAAAGCAGAAATATCTTGAGTTTGAGGCCAGCCTGGGCAACAGAGGCCCCATTGCCATAAAAAAAAAAAAAAAAAAAAAAAAAAAAAAAAAAAGCTGTACATTTGCAAATGTTAACTCCTGAACATTTCAATCAGCCACTCTCCACCATTACTGTATTAACAAAAGAGGCCCAAAGAGCTAGGACAGCCTAGTGCTACAATTAAACATTAAGTCCCAAAGAACATTTACCTTTCGATTCTGATCGTAAGCAGAATCAATCCCCAAAATGCTATTCACTTCTACATAGGGGTATTTCTTCTCCAGGACACTGACCACATGTTCGACTTTCACTTTGTCTCCAGTCCTCACTTTGTTATAGACCTGAAGAGAGAAAATTGTTAGCTAATTACACAAAGAAAAATTCTGACTATACATTATGAAAAATTTCTGAATGGAGAAAAAAAGGCATAATATGCGATATTAGCAATAGTCCTTCTTCCAAATCTCATTAACATGCCCGAAGTTAGAAACTACAGGATCTCAGGATAAAGCCTGAGGGTATTTCACTGACCTTCTCAGACCCAAAAGCTACAACTCTTGTTGCATAGGTCCTGCTTTACCTTGGTCTTAACCATCCAGAAGAAAAGTATAAAAACAAAATATAAGAAGTAAAGCCATGCTGTTATGTTGAGCTGTAGGGGACTCAGGTCAACAACTTCTGACATTGCCAGTCAAGCGGAAGACCCAATACTATTATGGACTACTGGACTCTTTTGGAATATTTTGCTGAGTTTACACACCTATAATATTCAAATAACAGAACTTAACAAAAAACTGTATACAGATGAATGTCCATTTTGTATCTGTGTATTCAAAGTGCTTAGCATAGATATATAGTTACATTCTCTTAATGAATAGAGTGATTTGTTCTAATGGTGTTTGTAAATAGGATATCGTGTTCACATCTTGTACAGCAATTAACCACTAGGAAGAATGTATGCAATGTGTTAATTATTGAAACTGTCCTACCAATTTGATTTGAAACTGTCTCATTGCTATTTGTTTATCAATAAAATTATGGGGAAAAAAATTTTTAAAAAAGAAACTAAATATTCTTAAAATGAGCTTAGAAAAAGAATTAAAATATGTTGTATACATGTACCAACTCCCCACAAAGAATGTAAAAGTTATCTACTGCAAACATATACTAATAAAAAATTAAAATCTAAAATGACTCAAGCAGTTTACAATCATGGTTAAACCACAAATACAAAATACATTAAGAAAACTCTAAATACTGAAAAGCAATTATTGAAGACTGCATGTCCAAAACAACTGCAGTGAAATCTATAAAAGCTCAACAAGAGTCTCTAAACTCATTCTCTCCATCTTTTTATAGCTAAACTAGAAGGACTTACAACAAAATTATCAGACTTACCAAAAAACCTCCATTAGTAGAGGGATCCAAGAGCCAACAGCTATTCCAGTCCCTTCAGAGTAGTTCCTGGATGTGGCTCTTTCCCCAACCTTCTTTCCATCCTAGCGCGCATCATTTGATTATACATGCTTTAATTTCTTGGAAATTTTGTTTATTCTTGCCTAGGGGCTGCCAGACTTCAAGTGACCATCAGATGGAACCAAGAACAAGTGTGCCAGACTCCTTCAATGGGATCCACCAGATCGACCTTGTACACAGTTCACAACTGCTGAACTACAACATGACTTCGACCTGAGGCCCACCAGATTAGCTCTCTGGAGAAGGTGCCCAACTGAGGTTTCCCCTACACCAGCCCTATTCAGCTTGAAGCAGCTAGATGAAAACTATGCTCCTTCTCCCCTAATCACAGTCAGGGGTACTTCTTTAGAGGGGGAAAGAGTATAGACAGTTAAGTTAGGGAGACATATAGTAGTCAGCGCAGAAGATTGGAACCCTTCAGGACTGTGGCTAGAAGTGCATCTGACGATTCCAGTCACAATGGCTAGCTTTACATACTTCCCTAGTGGATGAACAGAGGCTTGGGATTACTTGTATCACCCTTTTGAGATTTCCATTATCCAAGGGCTGGGCCATTCTCTCCCACCTACTGAAGGTTAAACTATGGCCACTGTGACTAAGACTAACACTGCTAGGACTAAAAGCCAGGCCAAGACTATAGCTCATCCACCAAGATTCATGTAACATACGTACCCTTGCTAATATTAGATCAATATTACCCGAGTGCCTCAACTTGCAATCTTATTGGCTGATCATAATTCTGACCCATGTTATGCCCACCTCTAGATTTTGCTCTATAAAACTTCCTTTGAGATGGGCTCATTAGCAATCCATTCAGGATCTTTCCTTTCTCTCAAGAGCTATTCCTATTCCCCAATCCCCATTCCCCAATTCCTATTTCCCAGTCCTTTTCTCCAATAAAATTTCTTACTCTTAAAAAAACAAATTCATGTCCATGATGTCTAGGGTAAAAAAAAGTTGAAAAATATAGTGGGCAGGACCACCAGGATGGTACTTCTTGAAAGATGACCATTTGTCTCCATGCTGGGTAAACCTGGCCCTAATACCATGTATATGGAACTGGCTAGGCTAATACTTTACCCCTACTTGGCTTTACATAATGCAAATGGGTCTAGCCACAGCACTGATGTGTAGCCTTTGAAGCAGTGTGATAGGTTAGTGATGCTCTCTGCCTGTAGCTCCCAACTACTAAGAAAGAGCCAAGCAGAGAGACCCACGCTGTCCCTGTTAGCTGAGAATGAGGCTTAAGAAAAAGGTGTGATGTCTCAGGGTGGGAAGGCCAGACATCAAAGCTGAAGCACTGAGGAAAAATAGAACATACTTTCTCAAAGTATGTTATGCAGATTCCTCCTCCAAACTCAGAGACAGTTACGGTACACTTTCTGCACACCTCTGCATACTTTGGAGGTATGATCATGCCTACCTAGCCCAGCTCAGAGTACCCACAGGTTTCTTGTCATTCTTAGTTCCTCTATCCAGAGTCACTCCCCTCTTCACAAATTAGTAACATCTGGGTTAGGCCTTGGGTTGAGGCTCTGCTTAGCCATTGTTCAGAATGCTCTTAGGACCTTTTTGGCTCTCCACAACTACAGGTATGTGTTTGTCTCTATTCTTGCCATGGGCTGCACGGAAAGTGGTAAACTGGAATTTACTTGCTAAAATTCCAATAACTGGGGCTGGGTAGATGGCTCAGTGGAATAAGCGCTTCCCTGGCAAGCGCAAGGGCCTGAGTTCAATCCCCACTTCCGCAAAAAAAAAAAAAAAAAAAAATTCCAATAACTTTTTCCTGAGATTACAAGTGTAGGTGCATCTGGACTGCAATGAGGCTAGAGCAGGCTCTCTACAACATAGTGTATGGCAAAATCCTCCTTTATAATAAAAGCAAATAACAGGGGCTGGTGAGATGGCTCAGTGGTCTAAAGCACCTACTTAGAACAAGCTCAGCAAAGCACAGGGACCGTGGTTCAATCCCCCAGCACCACATGCCAGCCAGCCCCGCCCCCTGGTGGGCTGAACTGGCCGCACGCGCGCGCGCGCGCGCGCGCGCACACACACACACACACACAAATAAAAATTTTTTAAAAAATAAAAATAAAAAATAAAAGCAAATAACAAAACTGACTATACACGTACAGTGCAACCCAGAAGGATGCAAGGCAACTGGTCTATGATGCCCAGCTTAAAGGAGAATCGGGAGAGATCCGCGAGGCAGGGAAACTTTAATGCTACTTAAATGTTTTATAGTGAACACTTCTGCAAGGAAGCAAATACATACATACTACCCTTCCCTTGAGCACATGTCCAGGACAGGGGAAGCTGCAAAGGGCAGCTTCCGTTCTGATATCCAGCAACTTTTTGAACCTATTTCATTCTCCAGTCCTGCTACCTTTCTCATTATTTTAATGGAGGTGACTGCAGCAGCTCATTAACTAGAATCAATCCACTCTCTCTCCACAGATCCATCCTCCTGCGCTGCATAGAAGGACCCTGCATACTGGCTGCCCAGCCTCCTGCGGCTTCTAGAACTAGCTTCCCCTCCCACTCTGCTCTCCCCGCTCCCTGATCATACCACACTAGCAGTTTGCCAGTCTGACTGGAATCCTGCAAAAGCAACTTCCACTTTCCTCTGACACAACTGTGCCCTCCACAGAAAGGCCCACGGCCATGCCCAGGTGAAGTGAGGGTCTGGGGCTACAAGGCCAGCTGAAGTGTTTTTCATACCGCATGACATCTGTCTCAACACATGTTTTTTTTTTTTTTTTAAACATTTATTTATTTATTTATTGTGTGTGTGTGTGTGTGTGTGTAGCCAACTCAGCCCACCTGGGGGCGGGGCTGGCTGGCATGTGGTGCTGGGGGATTGAACCGTGGTCCCTGTGCTTTGCCAAGCTTGTTTTGTTCCAAGTAGGTGCTTTAGACCACTGAGCCATCTCACCAGCCCTCAACACATGTTCTGCAAGGCTGCAAGACCTTAGAGGACAGGGGTGAAGCCTAGTTATTCTTTGTACACCCCACACCCAAGATCATGCATGGCACAAGGTGGGACTTTCAATCAATGTTTACCAGAAAAATAAATTAACATTCTAAGTAACAAAAGATGTCCCCAAACAAATCTCTAAACAATAAATGTATATTTAAAAAAAAAAATCCTTCTGGGGGGCCTGCTCCTTAGCTTAGCTCTTTAAGTGCCTGCTTTAACAAAGCAGTCAGGCTCAAGTTGCTGTGGTTCGATCCTCAGAACTCAAACCAGTCAAACCTGCCCTGAAGGCATCTGGAGAAAAAAAAAACAAAAAACCAAAAAACAATAAATATAATATAAATGATCCACCACAGACCAACTTCATCTTTATGGATAAAATGGCAAAAGCAATTATTTAAACCTTTTTTTTTTTTGGTACTAGGAACTGAACTCAGGACCTTGTGCTCACCAGGCAGGTACTGCACTACTGAGCTCTATCTCCTGCTTAAACATGTTTTCTAAAGTTACCATTAATCTGAAAACAAAAGAACTAATATATGTAAAGTTGCCTAGACTCAAATATAGCAACACTAAAAAGACATTGAACTTGTGCAAGTAAAAGCCTTAAATAAGTCAGGCACTTCAGAGTTTCCAGTTAAAATAAAGAAACTAGAATATTAGTCATTACAAATTTTACAGGGAATATTAAACTACATCCTAATTTCTAAGGAACCTTATCTTAACCGAAATTACAACAATCTACTGTTAATATCAGTGAATCAATAAATAAGAGACAACCTATAAAATTGAAAATATAAAGGATTTACTTGAATAGTTTTTCTGTACAGAAATACAGGCTATCCTTACAATATATTGTTTTACAGTAAGTTAAATTTTCTTTAAAACTGCCCTTTTGAACACAAACATACATGTGTCAGAGTCTGGAAGGCATGGTACTCATCCACTTCACGGGCCACATAGTTATATGCTCTGAGAACAGCTACTCCAGCGTCGTGCATCCCATCAACATCTTCAGAGTCGTTGACCACAAAGATAAAACCAATTCTGGAGAGAAAACAGAAAGAAGAAAGAGTGCAGCTACCTGAAGAGAATGGCGTTCCTGTGGGGCCCTTACGACAGCGGCTGCAGGGACACTACCCCCAAGTGTGCGGGGCACATCACACTCCATCTGAACAGGGCTTCAAAAGTGTACACGTCACGCACAAAATGAAAGCAGGTGCTCAAAGTGCCTGAAGTCTTCCTTGCTGAAGTAACGTATTTCCATGCCATGAAAAGATTCTTTTGCTGACGTGATGTTCCTATAGTTTTAGGTGGAAATTTTGTTCTACTTTTAAATAAATATGAAGGAAAATTTAAATATTCAGACTGTAAAAACAAACAGAAAAGAACTTGCAAGACTTAAATAAGAATTATAGGTTACAGAAAAGCAGAAAAATTGTTGGTTAACAACAAAAAGCTATATCTATGGGTAAAGTTCATGGAATTTTAAAAATTAAAGGAATAAACCACAAAAAGATACCATTTCACACCTACAAGCGGGCTGGCAAGAAGACTTGCACTAGGCAACGTGGAGAACCCTCGCTGTTGACCTTCTGTTGAGGCAAACAATGCAGTGGAGAAAGGATGGCCTTTGTAACAAGTGTGCTAGAGCAACTGGACATTCACATGCAATATAATGGCCTACACACAGACTGTACACCCTCCACAGAGACTAATTCAGATGGATCATAAACTGAACTGCAAAACACAAAATCATAAACCTCCTACAATACAACAGAGAGGATGAGTTCAGCAATGACACATTAAACACAAAACCAGGATCCATAAAAGAATTAATTTGTAAGTTGGACTTCATTAACATTAAATTTTTCTACTTTGCAAAAAACACTATTAAGAAAACAAAAGGAAAAGCTATAGACTGGCAGAAATTTACAAAACACCCAGCTGATAAAATACTGGTACCCAAAACACAAGCATAATATTAAGAAAACAACCAAATTTCAACACAGGCAAAAGATCTGATCAGGCACGTCACACCAAATAAACACATGTTAATAAGCATATAAAAGATGCTGAATATCCTATGTCCTTACAGAATTACAAATTAAAACAACAATGACACGTAAGTACACACAGAATGGCAAGACATCAGAACACTGCTGGTATTCTGCTAGTCACCAAAAAGTGGTGAGAATTTGGAAATCACAGGAACTATCTTGCATTGGTGGTGGGAAAGCAAAATAGCTTTGAAAGACAGTACTGTTCAGAAAACAGGATGATTTTCTAACAAAACTAAGCTTTAGTTATCACATAATCCAGCAGTCAGCCTCCTTAGCACATACCCAATAGAACCGAAAAATTTACGTCCACATAAAAACTGGCACAAATATGTTTAAGAAGCTTTATTCAGAATTGCCTAAATTTGGAAGCAACCAGATGTCTTTCAACAGGTAAAAAGATAAACTATGGCATATCCCTATAATGGAATATTATTTAGTAATAAAAAGAAATTAGATTATCAAGACACAAAAAGACATAGAAAAACCTTAAATACAAATGCTAAGTGAAAAAATTTGATCTGAAAAAGCTATCTACTATATGACTGCATCTGTATGACATTTTGGAAAAGGCAGAATATAAATAAGTTGCTTTTTTTGTTGTTGTTTGTTTTTTCTTTTTTTGCAGAACCGGGGATTGAACTCAGGCCCTTGTGCTTACCAGGCAAACGCTTATTCTACTGAGCTATCTCCCTGGCCCCAATAATTTTTTTTTTTTTTTTTTTTTTTTTAAATCACTAGCTGCTAAGGGCTTGGGCCTAATGGAGGAAGGAAAAACAAATAGGGCACAGGGGACTTTCAAGGGCAGTGAATCTGACCTGTATGAGGCTGTGATACTTGACCTTACACATCTGTCAAAACCCTCAACATGTGCAACACCATCAATGCATCCTTATGTACATTATGGAACTTAATTAATAATCACTATTAATCTAAGTGAATCAAATGCTTTAAAATATAGGCAAATGGTTGGGGAGATAGCTCAGTGACTTAAGTATCTGACTGCCAAGCACAAGGGCCTTAATTCAACCCCTGGTACTGAAAAGATTAAATATATATTATATATAACATACATTAATATATATATTAATAATACGTATATATTAATATATATCATATATATATATAGTCTACTAATCTAAACAAAGAAAACACACACACATATCAAACATATTGTTAATGCTGGTTGGTTCTGGTAAGGTGTGCACATATGTGGATGGAGGTAAAGTGAGGATTTATATTTGAATTAAAAGTTGTCTTTATTTTTTTAAAATCTCATGTGTGACAATAATTATTAGAAAATGTCTAAATATTCTTATGTTAAAAAAATGGGGCAGGGCCAGGGATATGGCTCAGTGGAATAAGCGCTTCCCTGGTAAGTGCAAGGGTCTGAGTTCAATCCCTGGTTCTGCCAAAAAAAAAAGAAAAAAAAAAAAAAAACTTTAAAAAATGGGGTAATACCTAATTAAATTCATCACAATATTATCTCTTCACAAACTAACTCCTCTGCCCTAAGCTTCCAATTTCTGGACAGGGTATCAGAGTCTACCAGAGTTTTGCTCTGCTTTTAAATAAATATTAAGGGAAATTAAAAGATTCAGATTGTTAAACAGTAAAGAAACTGTGAAACTTAACATCAGCAATAAGAATTAAAGGTTACAGAAAAAATACTTGGCCTACAGGAAAGCGATAGCCAAGGCTGAGCCAGAAACGTCAGGCAGCTGTCTCCCGGGTGCCAATGGGGAGCTCTCCCTGCTGACAGCTCGTGCAGGCCCCAGCTGCTCACAGCCACTGCAGCCCAGCTCAGCACCCCACTGCTCACAGCAAGCCTCTCTGTGGCCTAGGCGCAGTGCAGCCTAAAAGCACAGGTGCTCTTCTCCTCCCTCAGTACCAGTAAATCCAAATTTCATTTGTACTCACTGTCTACTGTGAGCTGACCTGCACTCTAAGATATCTCCTTTAATGAAAACACAGTTCTAAATATAACTCAGTAATTTATTTCTCTACCTGATTAGGTGAAATTCATGCCTTCTTTGTATGAAGAAAAATTCACTCAACTCAAAATTTCTGCTTTTCCAGCATCCAAATACGTTTATTCAAAGCCTTTCTGAAATCCAACTTCATGAAAGCCAAGCTTTCAGGCCATTTCAGCATATAATTATGGAGTTTGACTTTTTGTTGGTTTTTTATTTTTTGAAACGCAAAGAAAAAATTTATTGAAGATCTAAAAAACAATTCTTAAAAGACTGACTTTTGCAGAAAACTGTAGCTATACAATGCATTTTGTCTATCATGTTAAAACATGCATTAGACACAAATACAAAAACCATGAAACAATTCACCATCCTTCAACAACTTGAGCAAAGGTAAATGCCTAAGGA